TAGGCTGGGAGTTTCATTCCCCTATATCACTAGGAAGTCATCTGGGGGCCTGTTAGGGTGTGAGGCAGGAGATTAGGGTGTGACCAGCTAGCTGAACAAGGAATCACAGACCTTACCTGGCTGTCATGTGCTTGCCTTAACCATTCATTGTTCAAGAACCTAGAAAGCATCTCTAGAAGGAGTCCACAGCACTCTAGAACCTAGTAATGGGGGTACTGTGGAAACACTTGAGAGAAAATTGAATCCATTACTGGATATTTTAGTCTGGATCTTGGTGAGGGGATGCTGAGTGTCATAGCAAATGCTGTAGACTAGAAACTTGCCATCAGGTTACTTCCTCAAGAAAGCCTTTGCCTCCACCTTTCTATAATTCTACAAATAAACCAGTGTTGGCAAACCTACGGCAGGAGTGTTGTTTTCTTTTAAGACAAAAGATGTTAATATATGAGTGTCTTTTTCTAAACTGAACCCTCAGTATTCAAGTTTAGTTGCAATGTTGGCACTTTGCAATAAATAAGTGGGTTTGAGTTGCACTAGCTTATAGTCTATATTCTCTGATGGAAGGACATCATTTCTATGAATTATAATTGTGTGATTGTGTAATATCTGTTATCTCAAGTAGAATTTAATCTATGGAAGCAAGAGTCTTGTTCCGTGCAATGTTTCCAATGCTTTGCATGTAGTAGGGATCCTTAAATTAACTAAATAAATAAAGCAAGCATTGTTTGATCTGCTGTCATGCACTTGTAATAATAGCTATTCAAGTGCCCAGAATTCAAGAGTGTCCAGGACTGGTCCTGTGATCCTGATCTGGAGATGAGGTCCCTCTGATATCTTGATCTCATCAATCTTTTATAGTTCAACACATTAAAGCAATGGTGTTTCCAGTTGACTCACCTCTAAATTGTGAAAGTCTCTATTCATGCTGGACCATGTCCAGTTCATAGGAGCCACCCGAAAATGCAAAACACATGAAAACCTAAACTAAAAACAGATTTATAGCCAGGATATAAGATTCAATAAGTAAGAGGCTGTGGATAATATCACACATTGGGAGCATGAGCTCATTTCTGCTTGGAAAGGATTGAGACATAATTCTGTTGCCTCACTCAAAGCCATTCTGGAGTTATTTCCAACTGATGATATTTGACCTTTTGAGATCACATACAACTGTGGAAATTCACTCAAGGCTTTGTAATTTTTTCCACAAAAAATGCTAATGTGCACATTTCTAAAACAGCTATATGTAATAATATCAGAGGTATTCAGGAGTTTCTCTGAGGATTTCAAGTTAAGATTCCTCTTCTAACATAACTTAAAGCCAGCCATGCACATTAGAGTGTCCAGTTCCTTCTCTTGCAGAACGCTGAGGATCCTGGAAGTTGCTGGCTAACTGGGGATGGTAAGTCCTTATTTGAAGAAAGCATGGGGCATAGTGAAAATGGAATTGAGCCACAATCTTTGCCTTTTCCATAGCAGCTTTAAATGTATCTGCAGTCTTTGCTTTAATCAAAATAGCTTAATTTAGGAAAGAAAAAACCCACTTATCTTTATGAAATTCTATTGCTTCCTGAATATTTTTCTTTCTAAAGGAGAAATATAAACCATCTGTTCTAAAGATCTCAGTTTGACAGCCTAGCTGGTGTCATGCTAGGATTCAGATATTGCTGGGCATGACAAGGCCGGTATGATTGATGTGATAGGTCTGCTGATAGCAAGGATTAAGAGAGCCTTTAGAAGGATCTCTTAGGGAAGAAACAGTGGCTGGGGACAATGTGCCAAGTATGTGAGGTGTGAATTTTATAATGCACTACCATGTCAGTTACTTATTTGCCCATAGCCCCCCTGGATATATGTCTGATTCAAGAAGAGAAGCAATACTATTAGTTAAAATCTTAACAACAGTTAAAATCTCTATAAATCTTAGTGGCAGGTGCTTGTGGCTACTTAGGACTTCTTGCCTGGAGAATCACTTTTAGGGAGCAAAAGGAGCAAGCTTAAGTAAATCAGAAGTAAAGAAAGTTAATGCCCATGGAAGCAGCCCTTGGATAATAACAGGTGCAGGATTTGGTGAGGAAGAAGCCTTTAGCCATTGATGGATGGGTAGCCTCACCCTTTGGTCTGAGTTAATTCTAAAATGTGTTCTATGTTTGTTTTCTTGAGTTTCCCAGCAGCACTGGGATCCAAGGAGTAACTGATTGGACAACACATCCTTCGTTAGCTTTCTTTTCATCATTATTTTATTCTTTGTTATGTAGATCTAGAAAGTCCCCCCAGAAATCCATGTGTTCAGAGGATGGACTTTTTGAAGGTGACTGAGTAATGTAGGCTCTAACTCCTCAGTGGATTAATCCACTGATGTGATAGTAATTTGCTGGCAATACTGGGAGGTAGCAGAAACATGAGGGGCACCAAGTTGAAGGAAGTAAATCATGAAGACATGACCTGGGGCTGTATGTGGTCCCCAGCCTCTCCCTCTCTGGTTTTCTCACCCTCTCTGATTTCTGGCCACCACAAGGTGACTGGCTTTCCTCCATCAAACCCTTCCACAATTATGGCTTGCCTTTTAGCAGGCTTAAAGCCATGGAGCTAGCTAACCATTGACTGACCCCTCTGATACCATGAGCAAAAGTAAACCTTTCCTCCTTTAAATTAACTTTCTCAGGTATTTTGTCTAGTAATGAAAGGCTAACACACTCTTCTGTGTCATTTTTTATCATTCCTGGGATTGCCTCTCAGATGAACTATTTGCACTTATATACCAGGAATTTTCCCTGGAGGGAAATTCCATACCTAGATTAGTACTGAGCATGTATACAAGGCAACATGGCTTTTTTAAAAAGTCATATTGACCTATATTCAAATTCTTTCTCACCAATGACATTGAATAATGTAATTTCTCTCAGATTGTTTCTTCATCAATAATATGGAGATAAAGCACAAATAAAGTCTGATAAAGATTTTAAAATGTATGTGAAAGGTTGTATATAGTAGATTGCACATGGAGCTTAATAAATATTGGCTACTATAATTAAGATGGTATTATAATACTGTTGACATAGCATGGACTAGGTAGAGGATAAAACTATTTTCTACCCTGAAGTGACTACTGAAACAGGTTACTTTGACAGATGTGCTATGAAGACTGTCATTCTGGTGAATACCTATGATTTAATAATATTAATAGCTTACAGTAAACACTGTCACAGGAGGAAACTGTTAGACACCAATAGTTGACTTAGAAGATGAGCACTTAGAAGAGAAAGGTTTGTGCTGGTATTGTTTGGACAATTGAATGCAGGTGTCTTGTGCTATGGGTGAATAGTTTGGGAATGACAATGTGCAATGTGAGTACTATTGTTGCCCCCTGATTGATGTGTTTTGAAATTTTTTTGTAGTCTTTTTTTAAAAAAATTTTATCCTTGAAATAAAGTGAATTTGAAAAAAAAAGATGCACTTGTGCTTAGTCATAACTTAAGAAGTTATTATCAAAAACTTCATATCTGTGCCCAGTATACACTTCATGACTAATTTTTTTAGCTTTATTCATTCAGGGATACTGAGATTACTTCTGATTTCAATCTGGGTTCCCAATGTAGGAAATCTTTTCACTTTTGTAATTTTTTTTTTTTACCAGTACCTGGGATCGAACCCATGACCACGTGCTTACAAGGAAGGCACTTATGCCACTGAGCTAAATCCCCAGCCCCTCACTTTTGTAATGTTTACAAACTTAATTTGTTATTTAGGACCTGCCAAAATTAGGTTCCTTCCTCTGACCAGTTTAGACCCTATTCCTAGGCAAGATAGATTTCTTTGTTCACACTAAAGAAAAGCTGATATACCAAGAGACTGAGGCAAATTAAGCCTTCATTCATTCTCTCATCCTGCTGAGTTACAGTGCCAGATTCCACCTGCAGTGTTTCTGCCTTTCAAACTTTTAGATCACAGAAGGGATTGAGATGAGGGGCCACAGTAGCTAGAAAGGCAGGCAGTAGGCAGGGTTGCCCACCCACTGCAGGTGCAACCCGGTGATTTGGGTAAAGAATTTGTGTCAGCCCCTTTAATTGCTTCACTGTAGGCAGAAATTGAGGCTCACGGTGACTTTCTATCATAGTGCCCTTTTATCTTTAGAAACAAGAAGACAAATTGCTCATCAGTGAGTGTAGAGAGATACATACATCCAAGCTAGTGTGATTTGTTTTTTAGCAAAAACTTCTATGCGGAAATAGTATTATGGGTAGAAAGGCTGACCCAGTGACTCGGCACATCTGGTGTTAGAACAATGCTCCTGGCCTGTCCACCTCATCTGCTACTTCAAAAAAGACAAATCTGGACAATCGTGTCAGAAGGTCTTACTCTCATGCAAGGGATTTTCCCTGAAGGGTCCCATTTCATATGTGGTGCTTCAGAAAACTCTGTTGATGTTGCTTCTTTAATACTAATATCTGGGAACTTCTATAGTTATTACTTCTCGGGGCCACTTGCATTAAGTGATTTATGCTCATGTCTTAGTATTAGACTGTGAACTCCTTGAAGGGAGAATTCATAACTGATCTATTTGTATACACCCAGAAACCAGCAGAGCTCCTGGATAGAGATATCAGGTTTAGGAAAGCAAATAAACAAATCATGAAATATTTATCTGAAATGCAAATTCAGCTGACTGTCTTATATAATATTTGGAAACCCTATTCTTGGCATGCGACTAACCTCAATAAATATGGACAAGTGAAGAAATAAAGGGTGACGAATTGGTGAAAACTTGATTGACCATGTAAAAGACCATCTAAATTACCCCTCACCATTAAAACACATCGAAACTGTCTGGCTAGTGTTCTTCCTGTTAAAATGTAACAGTCCAGGGGCTGGGGGTTTAGCTCAGTGGCATAAGCACCTGCCTTGCAAGCAGGCGGTCGTGAGTTCGATCCCCGGTATTGATAAAAATGAAAAAGACCAAAAAAAAAAAAAAAAAAAAAAAAGTAACAGTCCAGTCTGGCTTTGGGTTGAGATACGTCTTCAGTGCAGGTTCTACAGGCTGCTTTTATTCAGTATTCACATGGGAAGAATACTAATATCCTGATATCATAGGTGTTTTGTTCTGACAATTTTACATCTCAATTCCATACATTTCTGATTTCATATGTTTATTAGTGTGTATCGGTTGTACAAGAAAACTGACTTTGGATGGTGTGTTGGGCTCAGCCATTCCGAAGCACAGTCATCTCTGTATCTTCCTTTAAAATTGCCAAAATTCACTGCATTTTTATTCCAGTCGAACCCTGGGGTTTTGAGTAAAGTCATTCACCTTGATTAAACCATCAGGACCAATTCTGTTTGGGAAAATAGATATTTGGGAATAGTTCACTTAACAGTTAATCTTAAGAAAGGCAATATGTAAACAACTCACTCCAAATGAGTTCTGCTGCTGTTGTCCGACTAACTTTTCCTCTATCTGCTGACTGCCTGCCCCCCACCCCCAGGCTCCCTTCTCCTTCCTCCTCTACTGTTCAAACCTGGCTGAGCCAGGGGCACCCAGAGACCTTGCCAGGGCACAGACTTTTGGGCTTCCACCCTCACACTCAGATCCAGAGGTCCAAGGTGCAGCCTGGCATTCTGCATCTCTGACACTGTCCTGGTGCTGCTGCTCCTCCTGCTGTCGGCCTTCTGTGAACCACTGGTCTAACTATACCACTCTTTCCTTTTCTTCATCTTCTTGAGATCTTTTTTTGGGGGGGGGGTTGGGGAGTCTAAGACAGGGTCTTGCTACGCTGTTCAGATTGGCCTTGAGCTCCCTCACAATGTGAGCCCATGCTGGCTTCCAACTCATGGTGATCCTCCTGCCTTATCCACCCAAGTGCTGGGTTTATAGGCGTGTGCCATCATGGCAGCCTTCAGATCATATTTCACGTCTCACAATTTTTTCTGTGTTCCCAGAACAGTATGATATGCAAATGCTGCTTTTTAATTTCCTGACAAATCCATTGTAAGTTGAAAATATCATAGGTCGAAAATGTATTTTTAAAAATTTAAAATGCCATATTAGGGATTGAACCCAGGGGTGCTCTATCACTGAGCTGCATCCCCAGCTCATTTTATTTTTTATTTTGATACCAAATCTTACTAAGTTTCCAAGACTTCCCTCAAACCTATGATCTTCCTGCCTCAGCCTCTGAGTTGCTGGATTCCAGGAGTGCACCACCATGCCCAGCTCAAACTGTCACGCCATAATTTAGTTATGCGAATACTGAAGAGTATTGATTGTTTTCCACTGAGATCGTGAGCCTGGCTAATTGAGAGCTGCAGCTCGCATCTTACTATGCAGGTTATTGCACTGTAAATCTCCAGCTCTGGCAGTGACCAAACTTCAAAATCTGAAGTTAGTTTCTAGTAACTGGAAATGCTTCTACATCACTGTAAAAATACAAGTGAAGCCACTGTAAGCTGGGACCACGTGTAGTAGCAGCCTCCCTCTAGCTCGACCTGCAAGATTATTTATCACAGTGTGCTCTCACTCCCCGCTGGTAGACGTTTACTCACACTTCGTGTTCAATGTAGTTTAGCATTCTGCTGACATGGGACGCAGAGATCTCCCCATCTATTTCAGCTATGTATGTGTAGAGAAACTGGAAAGTGCTGAAAGGGATCCGGGGAGGCCCACCAGCATTGTCACAGGATAAAACTTCACAGACTATCTTGAGAGTTTTGGCAATGGTCTATAAAACAGGAAGATAAAATGAGAAAGTCACTCTTCCAGGCTCGGTTCCCGAGATCAATTCAGATACAAGTGCTCCCATAAAATGAAGTCATGACGTTAAGAATCTAGAAAGTTTGACGTTTTTACACTCAAATGTCATTTAATTCATTCTAAAACCATTAAATAGCTACTAGATATCTTTTTTCTTTCCTTTCTCTGTTGGAGGGCTATCTCACGGAGTTAAATTTATGGACCGTGGTATACTTTTAATATATATTTGTCACTTTAGTCAGAATAACCTCTGCAGGTGGGGAATTGGTTTTACATTCTATATGTTTAGAATTATTTTTTTTTATTATTGCCCTCCAATTATTTCTGTTTTTTTGTTTTGTTTTGTTTTGTTTTGTATTTTTTTGTACTGGGGATCAAACTCATGACCTCATGCTTGCCAGGCAGGAGCTTACACCACTGAGCTAAATCCCTGGTATCCAATTTTATCTGTAAAGGGCTAAGGTAACTCACCTAGCCCATAATCCAGGAAGGTTCTTGGCATAATGCCATAGAAGAGAAGATGATAAGAATCACATACCTGTAGGTACAGCTATAAATGCTGGAAAGTGACCCTGCACATCAGAATCTACCCATTTTTCTTAAATCACGTAGTCTGAATTCCATAAGAGTAACTCTGGTGTTCTCGGGGGAAATGAATAGATGTTGAGTGCCAGAAGTTTTATTTGAAGAGTTGCACAGAAGGAAATGCTCTTGCCCAATCAACTTAAATATTAAAGACGGTGCTCAGAATGGATCCTATGTCTTTAAATATATCTAGCCCTGGCATATACCTAGGAGTGAAGAGAGTCAGGAAACGATAGGATAAAGGAAAGGAATGATTTAAAAGGCTGTTTAGCTCTGAATTAGCAAGGACAGGTCAGTACATATGTCTTGGTGGTTTCCCAGAACTGATGAGGTGCAGATCCCTTGCACACCCTCAGAGGAAGTCAGTCCTGAGCTATGAACTCAGGGGACCTGTGGGGAATGTCTCCCACTACCACCACTGGCCAAAGAGTACTTCTCTTCCCTGGCAGACGGCGCTGCTGTTCTGCTCTCATTGTCCTCCTGGATACACTGTGTGTCTAGGTGCCTTTTTAATGGTGGTGGCCACAACTCAGGGCCACCAGGTCTGTGTGTCAAGACACATAAGAGGGTGAAGATAAACTTGCCCATCTTTCTGGCGGGATAGTTTGACTTGATGGTATTTATGTTAATTAGTATTTGTTTTCATTGAGCTAATATTTAAATTTTGTTTATTTCCATTTAACCAACATACTGTAAGAAATAGAATCTCCAGTGTGCAATAATTTAATGTGATGTCAAAGCAACTGGGTTTGCAGCAGGCTCCTTCCATTTACTCTGCCCTGCCAACAGCGCTCTCTCATGGAAGCACTGACAAGTGCTGTATGGAGCATCCTTCAGGGTCCTTCCACCTGCTCTGGAGGGTCAGGAGGTGGCCACACATGAGGCCATCAAGGGGCTGGGCAGGCACGGGCATGAGATGCGGTCGACATGAGATGCCTTGGGGTGGAGCTGAAAGCTTCAGTGTGTGCACTGAACTTCATAATTTCCATCCACACTCACTCTGCTCCTCTAAAAATGCCCTGTACCCTTACTTTCTTTGCTGTGTCATCCTCACCCTTGGGGTGCTGTTATAGGCTAAAGTACCCTTCCCCAGAACCCAAGAGTATGGCTCTACTTGGAGAAAGAACTTTAAAAAGTGAATGAAAAGATAACAGCATGTAATATATTAACTATTCTTCTATTATTTTGTTATTAAATTGTTTTACCTTTTTTCCACAAAATAAAATGTTTAAAAAAGTGAATGAAGTTAAAATGAACTCATGAGGATGAGCCCTGACCCATATGATCCAGGTAATTATCAGAAGAAGAGACCAAGACAGAGTGAGACCAGACACAGGGCTCAGAGGGACACCGTGGGAATGAAATGCTGACACCTTGATCTCAAACTTTGGGTCCCCAGAACTGCCAGAGAGTAAATGGCTGCCAGTTACACGGTGCAGTGTGTGAGGCTTCATGAGAGCAGCCCTGCAGGCTCTGCACAGCAGGAAATTTCAACCCCATGGGCCACTGTTCACTGACTATTCAAACAACAAGCCTTCAATTCTGATGTCTTCATAGGGTTGTAAATATTCTTAAAGATTCAATAAGTCTAAAATAGAGATCTTTATTCTCTTGCATAAGACTCCTTGTCAGGTGGAGACCCGTGCCACAGTGGTAACCCCAAACATCCTGTTTCATATTTAAACCTGGATGTGTAAATCTCAGAAGATATATTGCCTGCTAACACAATGTAGGTCATCCTTCAGGCACACGTTTATCCATCCCACAAACTTTCCCTTGTAATTTTTTAATTCAACTTCTTTTTTTCTTTCTTTTGGTATACAGTGCATTATTATAGATTGTAGGTACAATTTCTTTTAACCAAATGAGTAGATCTACCACTCAAGTACTGTATTTCTGCTATAATCAGGTTTATCACTGAACATCAAAAAACAGATAATTCAGATCAAGTTAGTTATTAACATTACAAATAAATAATCAGAATTTTAAAACATAAGCAAAGCCAGGATTTAGCTCAGTGGTGTAAGTGCCTGCCTGGCAAGTGTGAGGTCATGAGTTCAATCCCTGGTACAAAAAACAAAAATAATTTTTTTCTTTTTTTTTAAACACATCAATTAGAGGGCAACAACGGAACATACATTACGCATTGTCATCCCCAAATCATTCACCCTGAGTGCAAAAATCTGCCTTCTCAATACTTTTTAAATTCTTTTTTTTTTGCATTTCCTCCCCTCCCTTCAACTCTTCTTCTCCTTCCTATTTACAGAAGCTTTGTTTCCAATTTTTTTCCTTTGATTCTTTTTGAAATCCCCTTTCCCTCCTTGTTCCCTTCCCATTTGAACATGTTCGTCCTGCTTCCCAGTGCCTAGCCTCCATTTTGGTCCCTATGGACCCTCAGGGGCTTCCTTGTTACAGTCAGTCTCAGGGGAGCAGGAAGTGGCAGGGTCCAGCTGGAGGCGGCATTCAGAAAGGGATGCGGGGTACAGGTCCCCCTGCCGTAGCATCTGGAACCATGCCCGTCAGAGCCAGAGAGCGCGGGGCTGGAGCCCATGCTCCTGTCAGCAACTTGAGTAAAACTTCTGCCATGGGAATTTCTACTGGGAGTGAACTAGGTGGCACAATGTCACATCTGCCAGGAAATCCTGGGTTTGCATCTCAGCATATACAGATTAACTCGAATTCAAGTTTTCCTTAGGCGGTAGCAATCTGACTGCCTCAGTCCGTTTGGGCTGCTGTAAGAAATGTCTTAGAACAAATAATTTACAGACCGCAGAAATGTCTTACTGGTCTGAGGGCTAGGAAGTCCAAGATCAAGGTACCTTTTTACTATCCTTATATGGAGAAAGGGACAAACAGGGTGTCTCTTTTATAGCCACAAGTCCCATTCCCAAGGGCTGCACACTCATGACCTTGTCACTTTCCAAAGGCCTCACTGCCTAATATCATCATCTTGGGAGTTAGTTTTCAACATACAAGCGTGTAAGGGACGTAAGCTTTTGACCATAACACTGATCAACCCCATGCCTAATTTCTCTCTGACCACCACCAGCACGATACCGAAGGACCCTGCCCTGTCAGAAGGGGAAGGAGGAGGAGGAGAAGGGGAAGAAAAGGAAAGAAAGGAGCGGAGGAAAGGAAAGGAAGGAAGGAAGGAAAGAAGGAAGGAAGGAAGGAAATATTCATCACATGGCTTCCCCTCCCCATTTGGAGGCAGGCAGTCAGAGGAAATCAGCTACTGTGCAGTGCGCCCCCTCAGGGGAGGCTTCCTCCTGCTCTGTGGGGCCCGGGGACAGGAGTAACCAGACATCCCCCAGGTGTGAAGGGAACACCAACGCCTGCAGATGACACAACATGGCAGGGGCACTAGGGCTCCTCAGTGCCACTGTAACAGCACAGAAGTGAGCTCATATGCCCTGACCCACTCCATTTTCCTCTCCTCTTGAAGACAGTAATTTTTTCATTATACAATATTGCTATAAAGGACGACGAAGAAAATACCCATGGCAAATAGTCTCTGCTTTCCTTCTTCCTAAAGAAGTGACTGTGATGAAGATTGCAGGGGAAATTCGTAAGAAAAGTTGGACTACATTATTTTTGCTCCATTTACTCAGAAATAAAAATGTCAGCTCTGTGTTTTAAGCATATTTAAGAAGAAAAAAAGATCATGTTTAGATATGCTAAGCAATTCAAAGTATCTTTTCATACCATTCATTTGAGCATAGTCAATGATTTAATTCTTAAACTTGCATTATTTCAGGGATTTTAAAAATCACATTTGTGATTCATTTCCGAGTCATTTCCTTTAAGTTATAACAGTGCTTAACAAGAGTCAGTCTATAGGTAAGATATTTCAGCTTTCAATGTATATAGCATCTTTGGCTTCAAAACAAGAAAATGACTTTTCTTTTCGTTAAACAGGTCAAATTTGGAAAAGGCATGAATTTGTATGAATACTCTCCATTATGGTGATATCCTGACTATAATCCTCTCTTTTCTTGCTTAGAGGTAGGATCCAACATTTTGGTGTACAATGAGCTTATCTGATAGTTTTCTATAGATTTCTAAAAGTCTATAGTGGTGCTCTTCTACTAGGTATCTGGAAAACGGGAGATTACTGGAGTGACTCCCCTTAAATGCAAAACAATTGCCACAACTTTGATTATATCCGGACTGATTTTTTAATACTAATATGTAAAGAGCTGGCTATGGTATTATTTTTCTTTAATTGGCTCTAAACATTGCAAACAAGCCTAGCTGAGGTATTGATATGTAATCTCTAAAGCCATCAGACATCCTGTTTCCTTGCTTAGTGCTCTCTATAAAAGGTATGAAACACAGTGGCATGTTAGAGCCAGTCAGCCCCAGAATTGTCAACTGGGTATGAGCCTCAAGGTATAGAGGTTATGACTCAAGGGCACAATAGTTTACACATCAAAAACTAAAGCAACAGCCTCCAAAAACAATTTAGTTGCTACCTTAAACGAATTATGCAAATTGATCCTTCTGTATATCCTTAACCCTGCATTTTGCAGAGATGCTTTTCTCCCTACCTGGCCAGCCAGCTCAAGTTACTCACATAATTCCCGCCATCCTCACTGTCACTCATCCTCCAGCCACCCCCTTCTTCACAGGTTAATAAATTCTGGGAGAGGCCTTGATCAGGGCCTTTGTCTGCACATCCTCATGGGGATTAGATTTAGGACCCCTTGGCTGCCCTTAACTTGGAACATGTCTTGGTGTCTTTACTCTTGCGGTGGGTTTCATTGAAGGTGACAGATTGGCATTAACTTGCTAAGATTCCAATAACATCTCAAATGGATTGTAAATATACTTTTTTGGATTGTGAAGAGGACTACAAAAGGGATTACAATAGTTGGATGACTGTACACACTATTTGGGGTTACAATATGGAACCCATAGATAAGCACAGCTGACTCTTCTGTATTGTCAGGAATTATGAATGAAGGGGGTGAGTGACGTAAAAATGAACATGAAACTAATGACTGAAATTAACAAACAATCAAAAAGTCATGCTAGGCCAGACATGGTGCTACAGCCCTATAACTCCACTCAGGATTGCAGGGGGATCACCGTGAGTTTGAGAGTAGTCTGGTCTACAAAAGTGAGTTCAAGACCAGCCTATAGTCTACATAATGAGACCCTGACTCAAAAAAACAAAACAAAACAAAACCCAAAAAAACAAAGAACCAAAAAGCCATATTTCAGCTAACTCTTTCAGAGTCTGACAGTTTTTCTAGCCTCTCTTCTACCTTCTGTGTCCTGCTGACAAGCACAGAAATGATCTGAATTCCAAGGGAAGACGAGGTGTGCTCATCATCAGCCATGGAGAAGACCATGTGTACAGATGCACGGGCCTTCCAGGCCCACAGAAAGCTTTTCCTTTAAGGAAAACGGGAGAGAGAGAGAGAGAGAGAGAGAGAGAGAGAGAGAGAGAGAGAGAGAGAAGGAAAGAAAAGAAAAAGCAAACTTACAACTCCAAGTGAGCTGCAAGCAAGGGCTAAAAACTTCAGCCACTCAATTTCTTCTGTGAAGCGACCCACATTCATCACACTATTAAACAGATCAGTCGGGAGATTCAGCATCTTCCACATCTGGGCCAGCTCCTCTGCATGGATGATCAGTCTGCCACCAACCTGCAGGCAGGGTCAGACACGAGAGAGAGGATGAGGAGGGAAGGGGGGACACAGGGAGAAGCAGCCCCTAGGCTAAGCTTGGGTTCCCCAGCACGCGGACGGGACAGGAGGAGGTGTGGGAGAGGCCAGAGGGCCCTGTTTCTCCAGGGCTTGGTGATGAGCTTGGTGATGAGCTTGCTGAGATACAATCTAATATGTTTTAGCTCCAGGTGTCAGAATTATGGCAAAGGTATGTATTTACATTTTAATTCATTTTCCTGATGCTTTTGTAATCTGCTTTATTCCTGGGTTGTCTCTGTTTAGCACATAGGATAGTCAAAAACAAACACACAGGCAGATGATCACTAATGAGACCTGAGATCACTGATTAGCGGAGACATATGAACAAGATATTGAGTCTTCTGCTCCAGAACCCACCGGATTATTTGTACAAGACTTTGAGGGTATCCCTCCCGTTTTCCTAGGAATGGGCATTTAGCCTAAATGTCTAATATTGCTTCATCTTAGGTTCTGCACAGGAATTCGATGGCAGTAAGAAGATGGGGAGTGGATGGCGGGTTGTTGGCCAACAATTTGATGAGGCCACAGATGCTCCAGTGCAATGCTCAGCACCTTTCCTAGCCCTCTGATTCTGATGAGTTGCTAAGACACTAGGACCAAGGTAGTCGCCAAATCAATCCAGCATCAGACCTCTTTGTATGTGACTGGAGGTCAGGGATGGTGGTGTCTTCCATATCTCCTGGGAATTGGGCAGACCACACATTTTCTCATACTCCGTTCCCCTTCCATTCCCTGGGCAAGTCCCAGGAGGTGTGGCTGTGGAGAGAGTCAGGATTTCCCTAAAAGCCCTATACCTTGTACACAGGATAACAGGGAACTGCAGTCTTCCCCATCTGAACAGATCAGCCACATATTATGGCCCATCAGAGAGATTTCGTTGAGAAACTGCTGTCCTTTCTTTTCAGGAAACAAAAGAGTTAACCCTGCACTAAGCCTCTGACATTCTGCTTGTTTGGGGGGAAATCCACAGGAGCAGCTTTGGGGAGACCTGCAGGGACCCCATGGCAGCTCACCCTCACAGCCTATTCTAAGGAAATGCTTCCTTTTAGATCAAGGTTGAGTGTATTTTAGGTAATGTTCAGTGGCCAGCTGACTGGCAGGGGGACAGATGGCTTTTATCCCACACGCGCCTCAGTGCTGCTGTGAGGACCTCACCCGAGTGTGTAGGACCTTCAACAGCTCAGGCGTCAGTTCTGTACAGCTGGACGGGAGGACTCGCTCCGACCGTTCTCGCACTGGAGGAATCTCTCCCCGAGCCAGGGCCTCAAAGTACCTGCAGGAACGAAAGCCAGCAGGGTGGGGGTGCATCCCATAGTCCAGGGACCCGTGGCTGCCTTAATAATTCCCTCTCCCTTTTCAAAGGACGGGAGCAGAAGAAAAAACATGTATGAAGTGTTTAAGTTTTAGGCACCATGTTCACTTTGTTCATATATGGTGAAAGCCTGATTGTGTTATTTGCCACTTAGAGCATGGTGAACACAAGGGAAATAAACAGATTTGTTCTTCTCTAAGGTGCAGAATAACCAACAAAAGTTTGGCATGCAGTTACCAGGGGCATAGTAGGTCACATCATTCTTTCCCAGGCCTCCCTCAGAAATGTTTTATATACACACGTGGAGACACACAACCTCTAAAGAGAACACATACATATGCATGTATGTGTTTGATATCAGGCAGGGGGTGGGGAAGAGGAGCTGCAGGGGAACTAAAATGACTCGTCCGAGAAAGGGTGCCCTGAAGAGCCCCCAGGAGTAAGGCAGGGTTTCCAGCAGGAGGAAAGAGCTGAGGAGCCTACAGGCTGTGGGGGCGCTGGTGGAGGTCCAGGAGGCCAAATGGTTAAAAACATTATGTGGTGCAGAGAAGCAAAACCCTTCTCTTTTGTCCTTCAAATTTGTCAGTGATGCTTACTCCTCACTGCTTTGTGGAATGGATTTTGTGGAAAGCAGATTGAGGGCTGCATCAGGCTGGTAAGGGATCGAAGGGGGTGTCTGCAGCTGGGAAGGTGCATAGATACTTCTAAGATACAGAGAAAGCTACATGAACTGAAACAGTAACTTTCAGTCCCCTCTTGGGGACCTTGATTGTTAAAGTGCACCTTTAACAACCCCAGAAAGCTCTGGACAGGTCAGTTTTGGGGTAGGTGTGGGTGCAGGGACACCTGGAGGGCCATAAGGACCTTAGGCTTTACTGCCAGACTTGGGGATCAGCTATGCCGTTCTTCAGAGCTGACTCTCCAGGTGAAGAGTGACACTCAGCAATCTGTATCATTGGGCTTTTCAGTGCAATTGGTTAGACAACATGGACATGAACTAGAGTCATGGATTTAGTCCTCCGATTGAGTTTCATTTGCAATCAATTTCACGGTTATGAATAGCAAATTTGTGTTGTCACACATGCCTACTACAGTACAAATAAGTATACGCCCTGCTGGCGCCTGATAGGTGCTTCTTCAGTGACAGCGCGTATGTGGGAAAACTCTTACTTGTGATGAATTAAATACCTATTTTGTCTTGGAAACACTTTGTGAAGTTTTATCTTCTAAAATGCTACAAGTTTGCGAGTCACATAAAATGACCTGCTAAGTGATTTTTTGTGTCAGAACAGGACGATGAGGCTCACGGGTCACGTTCTTTTTCATCATAGTTACAGCACAAACTGATTCTGCCCAGATGCCTAAAAAATTTGTAGCACACCACACAATACAGGAGCAAACAAGGTTACAACAGTGGAATGTTTTCTCCTATAAATGTCAAAGACGATATCAAGAAATGTCACTCTTTTCCTATTCTACAACAGCATGAGAACAACAAAATGCAGTTTTAAAGCTATTGTGTAGTATAAAACAGTCTATATGATTATGCCACAAGAAATAGTCTTCTGATGCTAATGTCTAATCTTAGAGTCTAAAAATTAGAGTGGAAAAACCAAACAGGATTTATTACTAGGCCAAGCGGATGCACTTAGGCCTGTTTGTTATGGCCCACGGACTCACTTTCCTTCCATCCTAAAAGCTGCCTCTTGCCCAGCCCAGGAGCACCTGAGCACTGGCCGAGGCTCTGCGAGGCTGCATGGTGGCATTCTGTGAGTTCTGAAAGGTGTGGGGGCTCCCTGCCCCATCTGCTCAATATATACCCCGTCAGCCTGTCCCTTCCCCAACGCTCAGGCTCCACCTTCTTCCCTTCCTCCCTGTCCCCCTGAAGCACTAGTAAGGAAAAAAAGCAGTCCCAGAAAGGTGCAGCTGGTCTAATTAGCTTTCAGCTCCTGCCTGCAGCCCCAGCCCTCACTGTCCGCTGTCCAGCATTGCGTTTGTCTAAGAAGCAGTCACATAGCTGAGAGATTTCGGTGCCGGCCAGAAACTGTTGGGCCAGGTAGCCTCTCTGGCCTGTGCTCCAGGCACACAGTGTTCAGCCAGGCCTGGCCGGCTGGGTCCTCTCTGCCTCCTCCACCTCCAGAATCCCATGGGACTGTGAGCATCTTTTTGTTCAGGCAACAGATCCGTTCAAAGAAACACTTAAAAAACAATTTCCCCCAAAGACGAGATACAAAGTGTCTTTGGTGAGAGCTAAGGCGAGAGTCGCAGGCTGGGAGGAAGGTGTCTCTCTAAGGAGGGCGCCAGCCTGGGCATCCTGTCCTTTCACCCGAAGGCCAGCGCCAGGTTCCCCCAGGTGCACGGCTGCCATCTAGCGGTGAGACAGGAGAACGAGGTCCAAGTTTAAACCCGGGAAAGGCAAGTTAATTTGCAGCCCAATTTCCCAAGGACCTGCTCCAACTGAAAAGCGTAGTCAGGTGCACGGGTGGGGTGGGTGGCGTGTGCTGGGGCGTCGTGGTAATCTAACTTTTCCTGTTTTCCCTGGACGCTTGGCCTATTGCCTTGGCGTCCTGTTGCTCAGTTTGGCTTGCTTAAGGGAGAGCATCCCATCCTCCTTCAGTTTGACGGCATTATGTGCGGATTTTAAGCACTAAGCAACAAGAGAGCTGAGAAAAATCACAAAGATTATCAGCTTGGACTTTCGGCCCAGAGCCTAGCCTCTGAGGGTGCTGAGGGGGGACAGGGACACGTACTCGGCACCCCACTGGATGAGGTCCTGGGGCTGCGTCCGGATGGCGGCTTTGGTGAACTGCTTCAGCAATTCTGGCAGCTCTGGGGGGATGCATACTTGCCTATCCATCAGAGGCATTGATTGCTTGACCTGTGCAGGAGAAAAAACAAAATAAAATGGGACTCTGACGTAGAAGACGACAGCAATCCTGAACAGGATGTCACCCAGCCTCTGACACTTTCATTTTTACCCCCACAGGACATTAAAAAGTAGAGATCAATAGAAGTAAAAAAAAGTCCCTAACGATATCACCTTCAAATAGTAACTATCTTCTTCCAACTGTTTTCAATATATGTATAAATGACAAGTGAGATTACCCAAAAACAACCTCTTTACGCAACAATACATTATGAGCATCTTTCCACGTTGCTTTAACTCTCATTAGCTGGAAAGGAGTTGTAGAAAAATTTGCTCTGTGAATCCTCTGTGACTTGACATTAGGTTATTTCTAAATAAAAATAATTGATAAGGGTCTGGGGTACAAGCTTAGCGGCACAAGCACCTGCCTGGCAAGCCCTAGGTCATAAGTTCAATCCCCAGTACACCCCAAATAATAGTAATAATAACTGGTAAACAGTCATTTGCTGGTCAGCTGTCTTTATATCTACATGTTTTGATATACTTTAATGGTGAGAGGGAGCGGGGAAGGGAAGAGGGAATATTTTCACGCAAAAAGTTGCAGGACATATTGAAACAAATCACAAAAATCTGTTGATGGTATATGATTCACAAAGAAACAACAAATTAAATGGTTTTGTCTGTTTTTATTAGAAAAAAATAGGCTGCTGACAATCCTGCACAAGTCAAATCTCAGCAGGCACCTTTTGAAGTGTCTTGCTGAGCTTGCAGTGAAATGAGAGAAATCTTCCATTACCAAACAAAGTAAGGCGGACTCCACCGTGGTGAGCAAATGGCGAAATGGGGGCCGACACAGGGGCAAATGCAGATGGCAAGAACCCCAGACTCTGAGATCAATGGCTAGGCAGGGAAGGGCGGGACAAAGGCTGGCCCCGAGAGGCAAATAACCCAACTAAATAAAGGATTCTGTCCTCTTCTGGCCTAAACTTGAGACCTTCGAAGAGATTTCATTCTTGGTGTAAACAACACAGGCTGTAAACCTCTGCCTGTGGTGTCTCTACTGCTGCTTCTTTTGGGGAAAAATAACCCCCCAAGAGTTTGTAGCTACAGTCTTGTTAAAATGTTTAGATTTATATCAAGAGCTGTCTCCTTAGGAAATCCTAAGAAACTAAGGTGGCCTCAGGTCCATGGTACTCTATTACCTTTCGTTTTAATTGTGTCTATTGCTTGCAAGAAGAGAGGGATAATGATTAATTTTAGATTTCACAAGAAATCAAAAAAGTTTTTTGCACAATTGAATTTTACAGGACATTATAGAAGTAATGTAACCACCAAACCTGTAGAAAAGAGAATGAAATTTTAAAACGTACATATACATCCTGAAAAAAATACCTCTGACCAATCTAAAATAAGGCCAAAAATGAAGGAAAAGTGACATAGGAAAAATGAGAAAGTAACAGAATAGAAAATAATCTATATATATTGATCAGAATAAAAAGAAATGATTTTAGGCTGGAACACACTTTTAACTCCAGATAATCAAGAGATTGAGGCAGGAAGATTGCAAGTTTGAACACAGCCTGGTCAATTTAATAAGACATTGTGTCAAATTTTTTTAAAAGTCAGGATGGGTGGAGAGCTGGGAATGTAGCTTAGCACTCCCTGGGTTTCATCCCTAGTACTAGAGAAAGAAAAAAAGAGGAAAAAGAAACGAAGAAAGAGAAGAAATGGTTTCAAACATGCCAATGAAATTACTTAAATTAAATTATTTACAGAAAATTAATTTATAAAATTACAGAAGTTATCAAATTGTATTTTTAAAAATTCATATATTGTCACACCTGAAAAAGCAAAATTTGAAGGTAAAATATCTCTATATAAGCAAACAAAAAAATGTGGACACATTAATACCTGACAAAAGAGACTTCAAGGCAAATCCCTACTAGGCATAGTGTGGTGCACTATTATCATGATGAAAGCTTCAACTATTGAGACAGTTACACAGCTCTCAGGGAGTATGTGACAGTCACCACACGAGGAGTCACTGTTGCTTGGGATCAAACACACACACACACACACACACCCCACATTCAGTATTGTGACAGATACAGGGATGATACACATACAGAACTGGTTCCACCTGGTAGTGGGGAGAAGGCTGTCATCAGGGAGAGAGAACAGGCAGCTCAGCACTGCTAGGAACACCCTAGATTTCAAGCTGGGTGGTATTTTATTCGGGATATATGAAACACAATTTTAGAAGTTGTTTTTGATGACACTCCAGTCCGTTTTATGTAGCACATAGCAGTGTTTGATTTTGCTTAGTGTGTGTGCGTGATAAAAATATGTAACATATATTTTGCCATTTCAAGATTATTTATCAGTGGCAAAAGTACCTTCGTGTTGGTGTGTATTTAGCATCACCATCTCCAGAACTTTTTTCATGACCTCAAACTGAAACTTCATACCCCCTACACACTAACTCCCCAATAACCACCATTCTGCTTTGTCCCCATGAATTCAGCAACCCCATGTAAATAGAATTGTATAACCTTTGTCCTTCTGCATCTAGTTTATTTTACTGAGCATAAGGTCTTTCATCTAGGGATTAAAAACTGGTGGTTAATTTAATGCCAGCTAAATCAGATCAGCATGGTGCTGAGTGTAGATGTTCCACCTGAGGAAAGCTGCCAGCATAGAGACATGGAGAAGATGAGTGAGGCCTTGTGGGGTCTCCTATGTGTTGCTGTTTGAGCCGTTGGTTCTGCTGGAGGAGCTCATCCTGACTACTTCCTGTGAGTTTGACCACTGTAATTGGAGCAGCTTGGGACCTCGCTGGTGAGAGTGGCTGTGGTTCACTTTGGGGAGCTCTGGTCCTTACATCGAGCATCGCTTCCTGGCTCCAGAGGGGAAAACGTGCGCCATTTAATTTCCAGGACAAACTCGTCATGCTGGCTTCCTGGCATGTACTCAACTGCTCTTATTGTTGAAGGAGCTCGGGGCGTCCGTGTTGCTGAGGATGGCTGTGGTGCTTTTCAGGAAAGCCCTGGTCTTTATTATGAGCATGACTTCTTGGATCCAGTGTAGAACCTCAACCTACCAGCACAGCTCCTTAACCCACTGGTATAGACTTGCTAGCTTCCCCCACTGACTTTTGGGCTTTCTCAGCATCCGTAAAACATACTGGCATGAGTCCTTCTCGTGGGCTCTACATCTCCAGCTGGACTCGTGGGAGGCATTGTCATGGGCTCTAGGTTTTCATCTGGACTCATGCAGGACACGGCTGTGGGATCCAGGCCCTTGGCTGAATATTCTGGGTGCTTAGTGTTGTGGATAGAGTTCCTGCACTTTCTTGTGTTAACTCTAGGTGACCATCATAAAGTAATATTATAAATTCTGTGTCCTGATTATAATTGTTCTCCTCACAACCCCTGACTACAACATCATCTATATTAAGGCTGAATAACATTCCTTTGGATATATCATTTTCTGTTTATCCATCTGTCCATGGACTTTTGGGTTGTTGCCAATTTTGGCTATTGCTGCTATGAACAAGGATGTACACTTATTTGTTGGAGGCCTTGCTCTCAATTCTGTTGGGCATGTAACTATAAGAGGAATTGCTGTATTGGATGGTAATTGTACTTGAAGTTTTTGAGAAGCTGGCATACTGTTTTCCACAGTTTGTACTGTTTTACTCTATTTGACTGGATCTTTATTTGTTGTACAATTATCTGATGTCTATCCTGATAGTTGCAAAAATTCTAAATAAATGAAAAGATGGTCCAAACCTAATCAAACAAGTTTCTATGACAAGAATAACAGTGATAACTTTTGGTCAATCAATACAGAACAAACTCAGGGAAAGCTTTTACTTCACCTTTTTCTGACAACTTTTATGTGAGCAGTCTAAATTTGGGGCACAGAATAGCTAGTGAGTTTTCCATATTATTATCTTTCCTCAGTGCTTAGTCCTTCTTTAACCCTTTGCATTTTTCTCCTCTTGTCACTCTATTGTTTCCTTGAAAGTGCTAAATTATACCTATTCATTTCCTGCAACTACTATACCAAGCATCATGATAAATATTGTATGTACATTTTTCTTTTCTCTCTTACTATTCAAAATGCTCCCCATGAGGTTGATGGCACTATCATCATTTTACAGATGATGGGTGTAAGAAAGGAAATCAAATTTTTCACCTAACTAATGAGTGATGGTGGCAGAACTGGAGCACATGCGGAGCTTGATGAGGGAGAGAGGACCCATTAGACACGACAATCCTTGTTTCTGGGGCCTCTGTCCTCTGATGAAGTACGCTCTCCTTGTGTTTGTTTGGCTCAGCACTGTTTGTCTGCTTCCTTCCGTGACTCCAGAACTTCCTTCCATAAGCAAGCGTTAGCAACCTTCCCCAAAATGTCTCCAGCACCTGGGTTCAGCTCTCTCCGTGGTTTTTCCTGAGGAACTCACACGTCCTCATGGCTCCGTCTACCACAAAATCATGCTGATTAAACTTGGTTGTCCATCCGCTTCATACTCCCAATGGCTTCCAGGATGAGCATCTGCTGGGACACATTGCCCATCTCCCCACCAAGTCCCCCACCCAAGGCCTTTCCTTCTTCCCCTCCCTTCCTCTCTATCTATCCCTTTCTCTCTCTCTTCCCTTCTTATCCTTTCTCATCCTTTACTCTTCTTTTTCTTCCTCCTCTCTCCTTCCTTCTCTTCTTCCTCCTCTCCTTCTTTTATTCCTCCTCCTCCTTTCTCCTCTTCCTTCTTATTCTTTTCTCCCCTATTCCCAGGACCAAACTCCGGACCTTATGCATGCTAGGCAAGTGTTCTACCTCCCTCCACTCTATACTCCCAAACCCCAAATCGTTTTCTACACATTATTTCTACCACCATTATTTCAGTCCTCTGGCTTCACAGCTTTGCAATCATCCGTTCTTTTCAACCTGTTGAATCTCACTACATCCCATCGGTGCTGCCTCTGAATTGTGTCTCCATTTCATGGCTA